GGTTGTTTGACTACACTAACTGCAGTTAAATTTATCAGTAGCACTTGCACTTTAACTAAATCACAGCTAATCATAAAAATAGATAATTATGCAAAATAGGTTATCAAACATCCTAATTCTTCTAAAACAGTGTGTGTTGTACATTTAAAAATCAGTGCTAAACAGAATAAATTTCCTTCAGTATGCGTCCCAAGATAAACTCTTTTTAAGTTGTTAGATAAATATGTAAGACATCATACATCATTAGAATACTAAATGATCTATGATGGTCTTTCATAATAACAAAGTTAAACCATGAATAATGTTATATGGATCATGTGTAAGAAAAGTATAAATCTGAGTGACTTAACTGTCTGACCCTATTCACAAGTTCAGGAGGGTCTTGTCCAAAGTGTTTATCCAAAAAAACAAAAAAATGCAGACAAGAGGAAAAGAGGAGAGTAGGCAGGTAAAATGTAGTTGTAGGTTACTTCATCAGAACAGAACTATGATCACCCTGATTATATTCTGATTACATTTTCCCACTGGTAATGACCATAAAATCCATTCACTTCCACAATAAATACAATATATTGGGTTTGAGATAACCAGCCAATACAGACATGATATGCAGAGATTGGTTTTGAAGCGTAAAGGCTTGAATAAATGACTTGACCATATTAGATGTCACCTATTAACCAGAAGGTTGCGGGACCACCTTCCAGCCTGAGGCCTTTCTGTGTGGAGTTTGCATGTTCTTTCTTTGCACATGTGTGTTTTCTTCATTAGTTTCCTCCCACAACCCACAACATACAGTGGTTCCCAAACTTTTTATCTTCTGACCCACAAAATATTCATGGCAAAAACTTCTGACCCCAAATATTACTGGTCGTCGTACACGAACTTCATTAATAACCCTAAAACACAGGCTTTTTGACAATCTAAACAGCTTGTACACAAATATAAATACTTATTTATGCTTATTTTGTGTTTTTGTAATAATTATAGGGAAAATATTACATCAGCAATTATTTTATTACCCTTTAAATTGATTTCTGGAGATTATCCAAGGTGCTTCATGACCCATAATTGGGTCCCAAGCCCAACTTTGGGAACCAAAGTGCAGTGGTTCCCAAACTTTTCAGCTTTTGACCCACAAAATAACAGTAGCAGAGACCTGTGGCCCCAGCTATTTTTGGATGATAAACATTTCTATCAGGTCAACAAAACATGGGCATAGTAACAAAATTTTTATACTACATTTATCCATTTTAAATATACTAACCTCACTCCTTTGTAACAACTAAGGTAAAAATGTAATAAATTCAGAAAATCTTTTCAGGACCCCACATTGATGTTTCGGGACCCCACTTTTGGTCCCGACCCCAACTTTGGGAACCACTGCTCTATATTGTCCCAAGGTGTGAGTGAGAGTGTGAATGATTACTGTAATTTGTCTTGTCTCTATGTGTCCCTGGGATGGACTTGTGACCTGTCCAGGGTGTCCCTAACCTCTCATTGAGGAGATGGGCACCAGCTCCCTGTGACCCAGAAAGTAGAAGGTTAAAAATAATTGATGCATGTTTGAGTTATGATTTCAGTGTCTCTGAACGGTTACAGATTAATTCAGTGTTGTGTTGTTTTGTTGGCTCCACGCAGCTACAACTCTATAGGTACCGTGCAGCTTTTTATATCTAAGCCCACAGCAGAGTATGGTAAAGCTATCAGGGCCACAGTCCCTTTGAAGAACTGGACCTAAAGGAACACAACAGCAGTGAACATGATGCCATGTCCCTCTTGTCTTCATATTTTATTTCTTTGCCTATTCAAAGACATTCCTTCAAGAAGCCTCTGTTTTCTGCTTTTTCAATTTCTCCTCTTCTTGCTGCCAGGGTTTTCTGTATTTCTTAAGCACATATAAATTTTTATAATAAAAATAAATTGTATGCGTTTGACTTCCTTAATGTGCAACTTTAAGCCACATTTAAAAAACACAACCTAATTTTGTTTTGTTTGTTTTTTAACAGCCCATAGCGCATATATCCTTAAAAACTACACACGTGGGTCCAGGTTCTGCATCAGAATGTGTGTTGTTCATTACAACTAAGGCGGTAGACTGATAGAGTGCCTGGGAGTTATCGAAATGTGAGCGTACAATAGTTCTGACAAGCACAGAATCTTTGGTTCTCATTCTGTGCTGTTGTCTAAAAAATTGCACATGGCTTAAAAATGGTGATCATTTGTGAAAAAGTGAAAAGAAGCAGCAGTGCTCTGTGTGTGACTTTATACAGACTGTATGGTTCGATGATGGTGTAGAGAATTCAGGCTGGTGAAGGAGTTTTATTTCCACTATGACCTGTTGGCCATTGCAGCTTTTACATTTGGTTGAACGGGGAGCTGTTTGATGTGTGAGGGTCTACATCACAACGTGGTCAAAACTTCGCTTTGGTTGGCGCCGCGCAAAACCAGTTTTGTGGGAAGCGTGTAAATCCAAATGAACTGGTTTCACAAGACATTTGTCATTTTTGACTTGGAGTCTTTAAGGAGGACTTCATTTAAAGGGCACAGTATGGTGGATCAGCAGCTGACTCGTGGTCAAGTGGTGGCAGGTTTGTCTTCGTCCACACCTCATCGCCCATGAGACACGTGACGCAGAGCTCCTGAGAAACCCCTCCCTCTGCTGGACGCATCACAGCAAGGGTTTCTTCTGGAATCTCCACTCCATTTGCCCAGAAATCTGTCACGGTTAGAGCGCCACACTTTTCAGCAGACAGATCATCCTTTACATAACGTTTTTGTCCATTGAACTGTCTTTATGACTGTAAGAGATTAAAACAGTCAAATTCTGGAAGAGGAGGAGTTGAAGCAAAGTAATGCCATTGCTTTCTGAGCGCTTTTTTTTTTGCATAAACAAACACAAACTTCTGATCAGTCATACAATAATTTTGTACGCTGAGATGGTGAAAAGTTCGGCCCCAGCAGAATCCAAGAATGAGTTCTCAGACAAAGAAGTCACAATAAGAACTGGTTTATTTACAGGTGATGGAATTGGGTTTTGGACCTCACCATCAATGGATGAACAGAATGGGTTAAATGTAGCCAGAGTGTGGGGAATATGAAAACAATGGATGGAACTGATCTTACTATTAGTTTAGAGGAGGAGGCAGGAGATTTCTAAAGCACACAGGTAGAAGAAGCAGGTGAGGTGGCAGAGAGTGAGGCAGGGGTGCTGACCGGAGCTGAACGAAGGTGATGTCAGAGACAGAACTGTCTGTCATCAGAGTGACACCCCAGGTCCAAAGAAACCACACATACACACAAAAAAAAAAACACATATGGATTGATACGTAAATAAGATTACTCTCTTTCAGAAAACTTGCAAAAAACTTGCTAGTAAGCAGGACAAGAGTCTTCACCAGGCAAACAGATCACTGCTGGATGCTGGATCAGCTCTGCCTATGTAAACTCTGGGTGATTAGCTCCAATAGGTTCCACTTGTAAAGAGCTGCACTCTGTCCACCTCGCCAGATAGAGCAGAATCTCTAAAACAAACCAAAATAAAGAGCAGAATCCTAACACCCAAGCTGACAACAAAGTGACATTATTATTTTCCAAGTCAGTGAGAGCAGATCATTTGGTTCAGATGGCACATGCAGAGGCCTTAACCAGCAACAACTAAAAAAAGGTTATCCATGAAAACATTACAAAATTGATCAAAAATACTTTTATCTTTGTTATTTTGTATCGTATTTATTTTTGGTTAGCTTTTCTCGCCTGCTTTTCATTATGCAGTGAATTGGGATTCGCTGCCACCCTTGACGCTCCCCACACTTGGTCGTGATAAAAGCCACCAGTTGATGGGGTCACCATTATAAGACCTTCACCAGATTGCTTCCAAATTATTACCGTATAGTCAAATAAACAAATGAATTAACTTCTCCTCAAAAAAAGGGAACATCTTAAAAAGTAATTTGCTTATTATGACTGAACGACCCAATAAACAAAGTCTTAACGAGCTCAGTTTAATCTCACCTGGAATAAGCTCCTCTGGTGCCTTGATGTGTAGACCAGTCTTTCTTTATCTAACTTTTTTTTTTTAGGGGGGGCGGGTGTAGGGTGGTAGCATGGG